CTGTTCTGATTTGAGAAGTAGGGAGGCCAGTGCTGCTTCATGATGATACTAGAAGAAATAAAAAGAATTATTATTGATGCCATTTTGCAAGGATGGAATATTAAAATATTAGAAAGACTACTTATATCCATGCCAAAAGATTATAGACTGGACTTATTGATCACTCTAAAACTTTACCTGTTTTTTTGGGTTATGTTCCTTTGACACATCGATAGCTTACTTAGCTCCCTTTTGGAGATCCTCTGATTGAAAACTGAACAGTGTTCCATTCCTAATTTAAATATGTTATCTCAGTTTTAAAGCATCTCTTCTTTGATCTGAAACTATATTGGAGTCTTTTTCCTCTTTTCAAATGTAAGATCAATTCATGGAAGAGAATATTTTCATGCTCCAGCTTTGTTTACAAAAGGGAGTTCTTTTGCAATTTCACAACTGGTCTCTCCAAGTGTTCCCAATTAAATATTAATCACTGGGGTTGAGCTACCAAATACTATTTTCTGGAGGAGAGAATCAAACAGTTAAACCAGCACATGGTGAGGGCTATTAAATACTCTGCGATTCCAGCTATTTATCATTGGTGTTTTCGTAATTGTGATTTATTGGAGAAAGTTACAATGCTCTGAGTTCATCAGGTTTCTACTTCTGCATTGTGGCCCAGGCTTACTGCTTTTGTTTGTGACATAAATCATGTCTGGATACCAAAGACTCCAGATCTGCTAACCCTTACACTTTTTTTTCTGTGTTCATTTTGTTTCCTTATTAGGAAATCTTGATGCTAAGTTTAAATCCTTATTATTTCTTTCAAAGGAAATGTGGTCTAGAAATGTTATTTGACACAAGGGTGACAGGTGAGCTTGAAATATTTGGCATTTGAGCCCTCCCCCCTTTAAAACTCTTTTTCTTACTTTTTGGAATAAGAACCACCTACTCAAAGACCATTAATGTTTTAAAATCCTCAGAATAAGTTGCTCATTCTCACGTAATATTGATAATTTTTTTTAAAGAATCAGTGTTCTAAACAGATTATTTTTGAGACGTTGCAGGTTAAGTCTCTGTTGTGTTAAGAAATTTCCCTAGAATGCATCGCCCTTCAATTTCTACTTCTCAGGGCCCTTCTCATTCAGAGAGCTCCTCAAATTTAATTTCCTCAAATAGGCCTTTCCAGTGCTTTCTATAGTGGACCCCCCACCAAGACTCTCAATACATCACCCTGTCTTATGTCATTATCTGAGATCATCTTAAATGGTCTGCTCCTTTCTGCAGAAGGAATCCCCTGTGAGGGCAGAGGTCTCATTGTCCTTGATTTTAGCTGTTTCCTCCGTGCACAGTATGAAGCAGGCAATAAATACTTGAATAAATATAATACAGAAATTACATTGCCAATAGAAAGGGCCCCTCCCCTGCCCCTTGCAACTTACTGTATATCTAATTGTGGGCATATGACTGAATCCTGTTCATCTTATTTCTTCCATGTTAAGTGTTGAGTGATACTCCATGATATAAAAGGTTGTTTTAGGTCAAAAAGTGCTATAACATGAACTTTGAAAATTCCATTTAATTAGCATTGTTATAGTTAGCAGTCACCTTGCTATTTAAATTAGAGTTGGAACATTGTTCCATGGGCAGTCATCAGGGCCATCATATGAGTGGACATCTGCTATTATATATATTTTTTAAAGATTTATTTATTTATACAAGAACCGGGGTACAGGCCAGATGTGCGGGAGGATGAGAGGATTCACCAGAGATAGAGCAGGGAACAGAACAGGCAGACTGACGAAATACACTGCTAAGGGGAGCAGTGGGCGAGACAGGAGAGGTCTGCTGCACCATGTGGGTTTCTCCCTGGCTGGCTGGGATCGAACCCTTGCTGCAGAGGCAGTGGAAAGCTTTACAGCACTATGTTCAACCACCTGCACCACCAGGGAGGCCATGCTATTATATTTTAGCCAAATTTATCATTTTATTTGATTTGGGGAGAAAATTGTTAAATCTTTTCCCCCTGAGTGGAGACTTCCATTCTGTTGTAACTTTGACTTGACATCGTGATCTGGAAGAAAAAGGCCCTTGTTGAAAAGGATAACAATCCCTGGCACCAGGCTGCCAGACCTGATCAAATTTGGGTTGACCACTGAAGTTCAGCTGGAGAAGCCACTGGACCTCACTTTGAGGGGTCACTGGTCTTTGGGGATGCTCAGCAACAGCTACCCATTATTTCTCTATAATCCAAATTCAAAGCCCAGATTTCAGGTTGCTGGAAGAAATGAATAGCCGAAATTGGCTTTTTTTCACCCCTTATTTTTTCATCCAACTAAATGTTAATTACTAAAGTTTATATTCTTATGTATTTTAGTATCACTATATAAAATAGGATAAGGAGTTTGCTGCTTTTTATTCCTATCTTGTGTTAATTTTCTCTTTGCAATTTTCAGTTTATCACCATCAGCATCGCACACAGACACAAGCAGAGGCACATGAATATACAAACTCGCACACACACAGTATTTATTTATCTGCAATGTCTATTTCTCTGCAGTAGATTATAAATTTATAGATTATAAGAAGATTTTAAGGCTTTTCCCACCTTTTTTTGGTCCATTTTATTCCCTGTGTATGTATTACATGTCTGTTATATAATGGAAATAGAATAAATCTTTGTTGAATGAATACAAGATGTTTCTCTATCTAACTTCTAGTAATTCTTTTCACTTAATCTATTATCAGAAAGGCAGGGCCAGTATTGCCTCTGCTTTCTCATTGTGTGTGTATTAAGTTGTGAATGTTTGGGCAAAATCCAAATCCAATAACAATGAATCCTTAAAAATAACTCATTATTTTAGAGCCTAATTTTGCCAATGTTGAGTGCACTCTTTGTTAGATACTTAAATTTTTCCTTTGGGGTGAAAATTAAGAATGAATCCTAACAAAGATATTCAAATTAGACTTGAATACAAAAAAGTGAGTCTTGATTCTGGTGACTAGGAAAGAAAGCATTTTTTAAAATAAAATATATAGTTCCATAATTATATTTCTCTCCCATAAAAGGTTTCCTATTTTTAAAATCTTCATTAAGGAAGAGGAAAGAAATGTTCTCTATTCTCATGACCACTTTCTTTGTAGCTTGCCTAAGTAAGAGGAGGAAAAGGTTTATTTTAAATGTGAGTTAAACTTTTCAGAAATCTCTTTTTTCAGGATAATTTGAGCTTCCTAAGTGTGAAGGACCTCTTCCATTTCTCATATTTACCTAGATTAAACTAGAGAGAAAGAACAAATTGAGAAGCATTTCTTTTTCTCCAGTAAATCAAATTAAGCTTGTTCAACATTTCAAGTAGGAGGAGGAGAGGTCTGAAAATTACCCTCCACACCTGAGAATAGGGATCTGTAGTGATGAGACCCTAGCAAGCCGAGTGACAAGGGGAGCGAAAGAGGAAATTGCCAGCACTTAACAAACATCAGAACAACCTTTCCTTCTCAGAGGAAAGAGTCACTGATCCAAAACATGCTAATGAGATCAAGAAAGAAAAATGAATGCAGGGACTTGGAAGAGTGAATTTTGGGTTAGTTAAACTGAAACCACCTATTGTCTCCAATTATTTAGTATTTTTTCACTTTTATTAAAAAAATGAATTCATCATTGTATGTGGTTTGATTTATATATAAATTGTGACATGATTAATACAAAAAGCTCAGCCAACATTCATCTTCTTTTTTTATTTATTATTTTTTAATTTTTAAATTTTTTTTAAAGATTTATTTATTTATACAAGCACTGGGTACAGTCAGAAGCACGGGAGGTTGAGAGGATTCACCAGAGCCCGAGTGGGGAACAGAACAGGCAGACTGATGAAATAAACTGCTGAGGGGAGCAGCGGGCGGCAGGAGAGGTCTGTGCGCCATGTGGGACCCTCATCGGGGGCCGGGGATCAAACCAGTGCTGTAGAGGCTGCGGGCAGCTTCGCAGCCCAGCGCTCAACCGCTGTGCCAGCAGGGGAGGCCCAACATTCATCTTCTTAAGCAAGAAAAAAAAAGGAAAGAAAGTCTTGTGATGAGAACTCAGGGTTTGGGCCAGCAGGTCACCAGGTTCCCCTTTCTCCACACTCCACCAGGGACTTGTCATTTCTTGTCTCTGTGGCGATGGCCATTCCAGTAGACGCAGTGGTAGGCCTGTGAATGGGCACAACTATGGAAAACACCATGAAGAATCCACAAATAATCAAAAAGATAACTATCTTCAGACCAGCAGTACTAGACCTCCCCAGTGGTGCAGGGGTTAAGTCTCAGCACTATGAAGCTAGCCGCATCCACTGCAGCATGAGTTCAATCCCTGGCCAGGGAGGTGCCCACATGGCACAGCAGACATCTCCTGTCTCACCCGCTGCTCCCCTCAGCATTGTATCTCAGTAGATCCATGTGTTCTGCTCCCCACTCAGTTTCTGGTGAATCCTCTCACCCCACCACACCTATGTCCTACACCCCAGCTCTTGTATGCATAAATAGATCTTAAAAGAAATGGTTGACAGTATCACTTCCAGAAATATAGCAAAATCATTAACTTGAAAAGATATCTGCACCTCCATGATCATTGCAGTACCATTTTACATCAGTCAAGACATGGAAGCAACTTACGTGTGCATTGGTGGATGAATGGATAAAGACATTTTGGCAATATTTAGTGGAATATTTTTCAACCATAACAGAAAAACAAGGACATTGTATGTTTGAGATCATTTGAGGCATTATGCTAAATGAAATAAGTCAGACAGAGAAAGATAAATACAGCATGATCTCACTTATAAGTGGAATAAAAAAAGAAAGAAAACTTGGAGAGATAGAGATCAGACTTGTGGTTACCAGAGGTATTTAAAAAAATAATAAACACAAAGTACTAGAAATTCCAGATTTTAGAACACTACTTTTTTGGAGTTAAATAAGTCAAAGGTAATAATTTTCTTTTCTGAAACATATCACATCCATTCATTCTTCTAATTCACTCATTCCAGGGGCCCGTCTTCTATGAACAGACCAACCTGGAAATAATACAGTGATATGACAAATGCCCTGATGGAAGTGTGGACAAGGTAGGGGGAAGGGTTTGGTTAACTCTGTCTGTAGAGTGTAGACAAGGCTTTTGTCAGCGACATTTGAACCACATTTTCAAGAATGAGGAGACTTTTTCCAGTCAGATATCAAGGAAAGAACATTCTGAAGAGAAGGAAGTGGTTTTTAAAAGCAATCATGATGAGTAAGAACAAATCAAAAATGTGTAAATCTTTGCTTAGTTCATGAGAAGTCTTGAGAGGCCATTTTCCTGATGGTTAACATTAAATTTTCTTTGAACAATCACAGACCTGCTTTTCATGTCTAGCTCAGCTGTGTTTCCAATAACCAAGCTTAGAGGACTGACATCAGAGTGTCAGGGGGAGATATTTTCAATGAAAATCATTTGTTTGTGTCACTATGGTGAATCCATGTGCCCAGCCACTGGCCAGTTAAATAGCTTCAATGTTCTGTAAGCATTTCTAGGTTGACTCCTCTTAATGACTGGTTGTCTTGTGGGTGAAATGCTGCTGTTGCCCCATTACTGGTGATGGAATGTCTTGATTAATATCTCTCACTTCTCTTGTTCTACCTCCTGGGTGTTTTGGCCATGACTTCATGGGAATTCAACGTTGCTTGGTAGAAATATTTGTACAGTTAGAACAGCTCATATATTCTTTTGAAACAGACATTTGTTTGCTCCCTTTACTCATTGTGACCTCTTGCCTCTTTCCTTAGTTGCCTTCACCTCTTGCCCACCACCTTCTTCCTTTCTCCCCTGAAGGAGTTTGGACTTATTTATTCATGTATTAATCTTGACATTTTTTTTTCATCTTTATCATTTACTCAATATAATAGATGTTAGTATTTATTTTAAATGTTAATATAATTTCTTTTAAAATAATGTAATTTCTTTTAAATATTAATATATTTCAAAGTAAATGAATATTATTCCAAACAGGGTTGTTCTTGCTTAATGTTCAATCATTTGAGCTTTAAATTTGTAACAGAAGTATTTTGCTGTCTTGAAGAATTAATTATAATGCATCTTATTTTTATAACTATTTTTTCTATTATTTTATGGTTACATTAAATCAATTTAATCCCTCTATATACATTGCAATAACATCATGAATGATGATAGTATTTAATGAACTGGAATATTAATATTTACAGATAGCTTTTGAGAGTTTGAGTGTATACATACCTTAGTGATGAAATGAAAAAAAGAGCACTATTACATAGAAGCTTTTATTTTTCTGTTTATAGTATTTATCCTGTCTAAACATAAATAAGGACAATTATTATATATGTCCATAAGCATTAATTTCTGTAGATGAACTATATGTATTTTTTACTGTTATTACACATAAAAGTATTTGAAACAGAGTACAATCACCATATTTACCAATTTAGCTAGGAAAAATAAGAAAACTTCTCAAAATGTGTCAAAAAACTTGTAGACTGTCAGTAACATTTACTGTAGGTGCTTCAGTGATTTCATTTTGTATCTATATTTAAACACATTCATTTGAGATGCATAGTTCAAGTAAGTCATGTTGTTTATTTGGAAAAAAAAATTGAATTATGCTTCCATTCAGTTTCTTGTGAGCTGCAATTTAATCTACAAGTCTTCATTTCCATAGAATCAGTAAATTTTGATATTATGTAATGATAATTAACACTTGGTATGGCATCATTCCAAGTGTTAAAATTTACTTACGTATTTAATAATCAGAGCAGCCGTATGAGGAGTGTACTATGGATTATTGCTGTTTTATAGGTAAGAAAGCTGAGGCACAGAGTGATTAAGCTTTAGACCTTGTAGATAGGACTTCCAGCCTCAGCTCTCTGAAATGTTTGTGTCATTAACCACTGACCTGTAATGTATTATTTTATACATCTAAAGTCCACCAGGCACTAAGTAGTGTGTTCCCTGCTGTACAGCAGAACTTCAACCAGGGCTGCCACCTCAATTCCTGTTCTATCCATTGGCTTTGTTGCAATTTCCACGCATTGAACTCTTGGCCTGGCACATCTGGCCTCTCCTAACTCAACATGGTTGACACCTCCTCTTCCTGATTTTAATTTACACAAGACCCCCTCTGATAGGCTTTCAAGAATCTGTCAATGTTAATGAAACTTCCGTTCTTATTCTACCTTTTACAACTTTTCTTTTGCTTCCTGTTCTCTTTCATAGAAGATACTCATATTTACATAATTCTCTGTGTTATTTTACTTAAAAGTTTCCTCTTCCCTGCACTTTCAATTCCATAAAAATGAAGAGCCTATCTGTTTTGGAGAACAATGAGAGTCCTTTATATAGTGAGTGACTTCCCTAGCAGCCCCCTAATTCTTTTTTTTAAGAAAAACAGACTGAACAACACTGTTCATTAACAAAATAAAGATTAACTCTCTTATGAAATATTTAAAGTTTGCTGCCAACTTGATTGTAATGATGTCTTCCTACATCTAGACATTTTGGAAAATACAGCATCTCATAAAAACTTAAAAAAAAAATCCAGACAGAAAAATTCCAGGTTTCCAACTGAAGTGCATCTCTGAAGCTGATTAAATGCTGGTATCAAAAGCACACACCCATATATATAAAAAGCAGACCCTCAAAGGTCACATTTTTGAAGGAAGAAGATTAAAGAAACAGATATTCCTGAGTGTTGACTAGATGTTATTGCTAACTTCAAAATACTGGTTTCAGTTATTTTTTCAAGATATCATAAAACACTGCAGTCATTCCAATCATTTCATGTCTAAACTTTTCCCCATAGAAATGACATATTTTTCAGGACAATGTTACAAGAGGAATGAAGGGAAGCTCTATTATACAACTTCAGAAGGATGGTGAAATTCAAAGGCTTATTTCCTTGTGGGCTGTTTATTTCCTTGTCTTGCTTGAGCTCGGGAGTTCCTTGTGTACATTTTCTTCACTTAAAAAAAATGAATACTCAGAAGTATATAGAATCTCAGGGATTTCAGTCTCTTGAACAGTCAAATAGAAACTCCAGAAAAATTACCTATCACTTAGAGCAGCGGCGAGTGCATCAGTTTAGTGAATTGCAAATCACTGAAATAAACTAATTTACGTAGTAAAGGATGTAATAGGAAATAGGTAGCAGCTTAAAGAGTTTCCAAAAGGATCAGGAAGTTGACTCAGGAACACAGACAGGAATAAGTGTTACCTAGGCCTATACAGACACTGGGTGTCCAGTCCCATTAACACCATTGCTAGGCATGTCTTGCACTGAAACCTAGATGCAGGCTATAAATGCACTGCCCTCACCCTCCAGAACCCTCTGCCATGAGTTCTACATGAACTCTATCTTCCTGTATCTCCACCTTCAAAATTCAGTGATGGTACATCTGATGGAGGAGCTGAGGTCTGGTGTCTGTACCCTGGCTTCAAGGGAGTATGGCATCCTCCAAGTCTATATTTGTAGGTGGCCTTTTCCAAAAGAAGGCCTTTATCTTGGACATTGGAAGAATAGTTTCTTCATAGATGCTAAAGGCATCAAATGCCCACTACACTGTAGACTATTTCAGTTAGTGCAGATTTGGTTATAAAAAGCATCTAATTTTTGATTTAGTAAAATCAGATGCACTTGGAGTATGAAGAAGACCTGGATTCAAACCAAGTGTTAAACACTTAATTTCATTGAGACTCAGTATTCTCATGTGTGTGCAGGTGTGTGAGTGCATGTGTGAATGTATATGCGTGTGTGTGCACATAATTAGATGAATAAAACGGGTATGGGGGAGATGCCAATGAGATTTGTGAAAAAAATTGAAATTTGAGAACAAAGAGATTTAGAGTTAGATAAAACCAGATTTAATTCTGGCTTCTACCTCTTACTGGTGTACAAACTTAGACTTGTTATTTAAATTAGTTAAACATGTTTCATGGGGGTTAAATTTGCTGCTTTCCAAATTTATGAAGAAGTTGACATGGATAGCATAGATTAGGGCTCAGAACATAAACATCAAAAAAAAAATCAACAAGTTTCACCTCTGTGTACACAGGTACACACACACACACACACACACACACACACACACACACACACGCTCCAGGAAAGAATGTCCCAAGTAAATCTTTCCTTTCATTGATAGAAAACTATGTATTGTTTCTATACTCTTGAAGACTTCCTGGTTATTACAAATTAATACATTTTAGTAAATATTTAATATACTTTAGCTAACCTAAATATATATCAGGTTAATTATATAAATTTATTTTATATACATTATATATAAATTATATATATTTTATATATATTATATACATTGCGTATTAAAATATCTCAAATTTTCTCACTTTCTTCTTCCCTCTCTCTTCCACACATACTTTGTGGTCTCCAGATAATAAAAATGTTGAATGGAAACAAAATGTATTTGTTTTCCTAAGTGTCTGCATATGTACCAGTTACAATGCTAGTAGTTGAATTTTCATATAAAGAATTGGGAAAGAAATGAGCAAGACTCCAGGATAACCACTGAGAGGGAGGGGGTGCCTAGACTGGAGAGAGAGAGATCAGGAGAGGCCCTTCTAGGGGCTAAGTTCAAACAGTGCTGTGAAGGTCAACTCAAGGCTGTGAAAGAAATGTTGCAGGTGGAAGGAGCAGCCTGGGCATGACTTCCCAGCAGAAAGGGCACCTCTCGTGTGAGGAACTTGAGAGAAGCCCCTGTGCCTGCAGCATGGGGTGAGAAGGAATGGCTCTTGTGGTGCTGCTGGGGGGCTACTCAGAGGCCCTGAAGCAACAGGGGTCACAGGAGGACTTTGGGTTTCCCAGGAGGACAATGAGACCCACTTTCCAAGAAGTAGCATAGTGTGTGTTTTTTTTTTTTAAGATTTATTTTTTATGCATACAAGAGCCGGGGTACAGGCCGGAGGTGGGGGGGGGATGAGAGGATTCACCAGAGACAGAGTAGGGAGCAGAACAGGCAGACTGACTGAAACACACTGCTGAGGGGAGCAGTGGGGAGGCAGGAGAGGTCTGCTGCGCCATGTGGGTTGCTCCTTGGCCTG